GAGGGCCCCACACCCGGGCCCATGTGGGCCGAGGCCCCGCTCCTTCTATCCCCGCTCCGCGGAGCGGCCGACTGGAGCCCGGCACTTTTTGTCCCCTGCGCCCCGCCGTAGCCCCGTCCGTTGCCATGGCGACGGGCCCAGCGAGGGCCCCACACCTGGGGGAAAGCCTGGCTACTGCACTAGCTGTCTGAGGGGAAGCCTTCCTACACCCCCCCGAGGACAAACCCTTCTGCCTGGCTTGAGGTAGAGGCAGGGGTTTTACAAGCTAAGGGCTTTATAACTGTTGGCACTGGGTAATTTGGATTGGAAAGACCCGCACCGTCCCTCTGTCCCGGCCTTTCATTGCTAAGGGAGGTGGCGAATCCTCCCGGGAGCGGGTAAGGCCAGAAAAGTCATGACCCTTCAAAAGGCCTCCATGGGAGGAGAGGAGGGTGCCTGTGTTTCCCTTTGTGTCCGCCCTGCAAAGCCACCTGTGAAGTGTTGCTGGTAAGGCTGGCTGTGTTTTTCTGAAAACACCCAATACTTTCCAGGTGGCAGAGGCTGGGGAGGCTCTGGGAGCAGACGGTGGAAGGGTGGGAGGCTGGTTGTGAGCTGGAGCCAGCCCTCCCGCTCCCCAGAAGCTGTTAGGAAAATTCCCTTCCCTAACTATTATATCAACCAATCTTTATAGTATGACAATGTATTAATTTTGTCAATATATATACCAGTTCAGATTATACACTGTGATGTAATGAGGTAGTGGAATTTTACTGGAGACTTCAGTATTATTTCTGCTTAAGTAAAACAAACTAAAGCCCAGCCCAGCCCTGGAAATAAGGACCTTGCTTCATGGAACCTTTCTCCATGAAATATAAAGGATACTCCTTGGAAACCAAGATAATGCCAGCATCTCAGCCCCTCTCACACGTCCCAGAGTTGTCTGGTGTCACAGATTAGTAACTCCAGCAAGACTGACTCCTGGGACATCTGGATCAAGCAGCAAGAATGGTGGAAAAATATTGTTGCTTTGCAAAGTTTTACTATGATTAGTAATAAGTAATGTGGATGTTAGTGATCAGTCAAGTCATATTGTACCTGAAGGTTTGAAAGGTATAAGAAACCTGTAAAAAACCACATTTGGGGTGCCCAGTTTGGCTGGGACACCTCGTGTGCAGGAATAAATATTTATCCTTGTAATTCTCTACTTTGCATCCCAGCCTCTCTCCTCAGTCGGCACTGGCCAGCTGTGGATTTTTGTGATGCAGCATGACCAGCCCAGCACACAGCTCTCCTGCCCCTGGGGAGGCTTTTCCCCCTCCGGTGCCGGCTGCGAGTGCATAAGGAAGTCTTTATGAGCCGCCTGCGCTCTCTGCACAGCGGCTGCTTTGTGCAAGGGGCACTGGCACGGGCCAGCCAGACACTCACCTAAGAAGGCTTCTGTGTGCAGAGGGAAAGTTGTTGCTGGAGCAGCATGTCCTTCATTCGCTGTCCCCAAAGGCCCTCGTCACCTTTTCACCTCCAGCTGCTGGCAGCTCTCCCTGCGCAGGGGTCTGGCTGTGCTGGTGGTGCCCAAGGACTGTGGAGGGCTGCACCTCTTTTGCCCTCCCTGCCCACCTTCCCTCAAAGCGGGAGCTGAGGAGCAGGTGGAGTGCTCAGCCAGCTGCGGAGCTGCAGCTTTGACCACCCATGTGTTCGGCTCCTGTCAGAGCTGTTGCAGAGGGAAGTCTCCTTCTCATTATCTCCTGCTCACCTGGTGCCAGGGAGCCCCGCTGTGCTTTCCTGGCACCTGCCAAAGGGCTAGGGACAAGCCTTGACTGTGCAGGATGCGCAGGATAGCATGTTCAGCCCATCTCCCTGTCCTGCACTGGGGAGCTCTTCAGCGTGGCCCCCAGGAACGGTGGTGCTGGGATGCTCATGGACACTGCACGATCCTGTGTAGACTTGGCAGGTCTTCTGACACCCCGAGCTCTGCAAGGGGACCCTGCTGTGACCACAGCCCCCAGCTCTCCCCAGCAGCCTTGTCACAGGAGCACGGGGCTGCTCCCACACAGCAGGCATAGAGCAAGGAGGACACCCTTCCTACAGCCACTTTTCTTTTATTAGAGGTTAATAAGATACAAGGAGCTGGACCTGCACACCACATGCCGTCAGCTCGCTCTGCCATGCCCCTCCGTGTGCCGTGTGGGCAGAGAGGAGGGGGGCTGACAGAGGCAGGCACACCCAGGCTGGTCCCCTCCTTGCCTGCAGGGTTTTCCTTCCAGCCTTTGTGACGGGCACCGTTTCTGCTGCGGTGGCTTTGCTCTACAAGCCATGAGCAAGCATTACAGGAGAGGGATGTCTCCAATGGGACAAGAACTGCAACTGCTGAGCTGAAACCGTTCCATCATTCCCCAGGAGAGACCCTGGCTTGGCTGCACACTGACCTCCAAAGGGGATCAAAACTCATATGGGGACACAAAGACTGTGACCTTGAAGATGTGCTTGCCCAAGAGGACCTTGCGGGAGAACTCACTCATCTCCAGGTCCACCTCCAGTGTGACTGGTCCCACCACAGGGCTGGTGAGTACCAGCTCTCCCATCTGCCGGTCAGAGCGCCGCACGGCGAAGACGCCCTGTCCCCGGCCACCCATGATGGCGAAGCGTAGGCTGTCGCCCACGAAGCGGGTGGTGGACATCTTGAAGAGGACACGGGGCACGGTGCGGTTGGCCTGGAGCGGCAGGTAGTGGAAGGAGATGGAGGTGGCGGCCAGACGACAGGCTCGGCTCTCCATGGGGCAGGGGTTCCTCTCGCACTGGCTGCCAGGATAGAAGGGGTACCACCACTCAGTGTCGTGGTTTGGCTGTCAGGGACCTGCCCACATCCTTGCAAACAAGCCTAGCCTGTGCTGCAGACAGCATCTCCAGTCCCACTGTCTGTCCTGTGGCAGAGTAACCCAAGGCAGCCACATCCGAGTGTGTGCAGCAGCAGATTTCTCTCCCAACCCTGCCTCTGCCAGGCAGATGCCTTGCAGGGACACTGCTCTGGGTCATGCTCTGAGGCTGGGACTGGGGGTGCCACAGTTCCAGCTGGAGGCCAGGGATGGAACCAGGCTCAGATGTGCTTTCACAGAGGAACTTGTCTGGAGCAGGGATGCTCCTCTGCTTCAGTGGCTTGTGCTTGGCCACAGTTTAGTCTCAAGAGTGGGACCAAGGGGGTTTTGCCTGCTGGATGGCAGTTGACAGGACTGCATGGCTGTGCAGTGGAGGGGAGACAGCATCATTCCCTTCAGGCTGGGGCTCTGTGGGGACGGGGTCCTGGATAAAGCCCATGTATTGGGGTGCTCTCACCTGCACTCCCAGCCACCAGCATCCTGAGACCATCCAGAGAGTATGCTGAGCCCACCCAGTCACCCCACATGGCAGTTTGCTACCAGTGCTGGCTGGCACGCTCCCTGCTGCCCCCAGGTGACACGGTATGGTCCTCAGGGCACCGTAGGACACATCACCTGGGGGACAGAGCATGACACAGCCCAAGCCATGCGCAGTACTCACAAGGCAGAGGTCTTGACATAGCTGGTGTTGTGGCGCGGTGGGGGGCACTTGGGCCGCAGGCAGCGGTGGCCCCCAAAGGTGTTGATGCAGAGGTCACCCTGGGTGCAGTTGTGCTGCTTCCCGGTGCACTCATTCACATCTGCGGAGGTGACATAGGGTGAGCAGGGCTGTCCCCGCTGCTCCCCACCGCACCCCTGGTCCTGTGGGATGCTCCGTGGCCTGCACCCACCACTCTTACCCTCACAGGTGTTGCGGTCAGTGCGGAGCAGGTAGCCAGGGGGGCAGAGACAACGGTAGGAGCCAGGGAGGTTGAGGCAGTCATAGAGGCAAAGCCGTGTCTGGGGGCTGGACTGGAAAAGCTGGCACTCGTCCACATCTGGGGGGACAGAGTGGGGCATGGCTGAAGGTCCTGTCACCACTGAGCCTCAGTTTCACCCCTCCCCACCATCTTCATAACCCCTTTTACCATGGCACACGCCGCTGGCTCGCATCTGGAAGCCAGTGTCACAGCTGCAGCGCCGGGAACCTGTGCGGCCCTCAGCACAGCGGGGCTGGCGGCTGAAGGAGGCATTGCTCAGTGACACCCAGTCTGCAGGGGGAAACAGGTGTCACCACTGGGGTGGGGGGCACAGGGAGATGGGTGAGGGCTGAGGTCCCAGGGGGCTGCCAGGGAAGCAGGAGACAGGTGCAGCATGGCCAGGTGCTGACCCCCTGAGCATCCCCATCCTCTGTAGCACAAACCCAGGCACCTACAGGCATAGATGGGGCTCTGGCAGCTGGGGCCTGACCAGCCCCGGGGGCAGAGGCACGTGTAGCTCTGGTTGCCATCCACACAGGTCCCGCTGTTGGCACATGGATTGCTGGAACAGTCATCAATACCTAGGGAGAAGGAGCTCATGAACACCAGCTGGAGAGGTGCATCATCACCCCATCCTGCTGCCCAGCCTCGGTGCCCATTGCTGCAGCCTCTGGGCTGCTCTCCCTGCAGCCAGGGGAGCAGAGTGATGGGACCCTGCAGTTCAGGATGGTGGAGAAGCCCCCAGGCAGGGCTGAGCCCCTGACACCCCGACCCTGCTCCACTTCACTTCTGCAGAAGGGCTGGGTGCCGCTCCACGTGCGGTCATGCCGGCAGGCGCGTGTCTCCGATCCCACCAGCCGGAAGCCGGCATTGCAGATGAAGTGAACGTCGTGGCCCACTTGTGTGCTTCGGCCCAGCATCCGCCCGTTCAGGGGCACCACTGGCTGCGGACAGGTCTCTGCGAACAGACAGACACAGGTGAGGACAGACATCACCAAACTGGATCTGACCCCAGCCCCGGTGAGGAGCAGGGGGTCCCTTGCTCAGGCTGCTTGCCTGAGGTCTGGGCGTCCAAGGTGGCCCCGTGGGAGTGTCACCCCCCCAGCAGTGACCCAGCCAGGTTTACCATTGCGTTT